TGTGTCGTCAATACTTGGTCAACTCGTGCGATCTAAAATGCCTATTGTAGGCGACATTAAGACGCTCCAGATCCAATTTGAATCAGGTCATTTGAAGCTGTGACCCGAACGCTATGAATGTTTAAAGCCGCTGTGCAGAAATCCGACTGTGCACTCTATCTTTCGTTTTAGGCACATTGGAGCCTATTGTGAATATAACATCAACCTCGTCACGACAATGCATCTCGCAAGGAGAAGCAGTGCAACGACTCCAAGGGCCAGCAGTCAGCAACCACTGGGACCTCTCGCGGACAGAGTGCAAAGGAAGCTTCGAGTGACGACGCGCACGACAAAGGACAAGCATCTTGCTCGATGGTCAACGTAGTGACGGATGCACCTGTGGAGGTGACAATCTCCCTGGTCCCGGAAGCTGGTGAAGACTTTCAAGCAGTCGCCGCGGCTGTGCAAGCGAACCCATCTGTGGTGCTCCTCGACAGTGGTTGCTCTCACCACCTTATGGGAACGCGCGACGCATTCGTTGACATGGATTCGGGAGGAGACGTACATCATGTGCGTGGGTTCAATGGTGCAATCCAGGTCGTCCAGGGGCGCGGCACAGTTGCTCTTCAAGGGGCAGCGGGCATGAAGATTCTTGTCCCGGATGTGTTGTATGTTCCTGGTGTGCAGGCGAACTTGTTGTCAACCGGTCAGCTTAAGGACAGCGGCGTGAAGCTCCAGGACGAAGGCGATGAGACGCTGCTTCTATCTGCGGAAGGAGCAGTCCTTGGACGAGCACGCTACACCGGTCGAGTTCTCTGCACCAACCTCCGCCCATGTTCGTCGCAGCCGACGTCGACGCCGACGGAGACGATCGCCTTGCGAACGATCACCTCGTCCACGCGATCTTTGGCGGACGTATGGCATGCACGAATTGCACATGCAGGCGTTGACGCGATCAAGCGCACTGCGGCACATGGCGCGGCAGCTGGGTTGGAGATTACACCAACAACGGGTGCAGATCTTCCTTGCGTTTCTTGTGTTGGAGGGAAGCTGGTGAGGCACACCTTCCCCGACCAAGGCTCCGAAGCTGAGAATGTGTTGGACGTCGTGCACATTGACCTATGCGGACCCTTTCACGTTGCTGCGAAAGATGGCAGTCGATACTTCCTTCTCCTCAAGGATCGCAAAACTCGATTTGTGTGGACTTTCCCGCTCAAGCAGAAGAGTGACGTGCTGGAGGAGTTTGAGAAGTGGCTGACGAAGGTGGAGAGGCAGCGTGAGCCGTCAAAGGTGAAGATGATACGTTCTGACCGAGGAGGAGAATTATTGGGCAAAGACTTCACCAAGTTCCTCGACAAGCAAGGCATTGTCCACGACTTGACATGCCCGTACACTCCGCAGCAGAATGGGATGGCTGAACGGGAGATGCGGACGGTCGTCGAAGCGGTGCGGACGATGCTCCTGCACATGAACGTGCAACACCACTGGTGGCATCTTGCCCTTCGCCAGGCTGTGTGGGTGCGCAACTGCATCGAACGTGCTTCCTTGCCCACAGGCACAACACCGTTTGAGCTGATGTACAAGACGAAGCCGGACCTCACCTTGGCTCGCGTGTGGGGATGCATGGTCCAATTCATGGTTCCGCAGCATCAGCGCGGTGGGAAGCTTGCACCAAAGGCTCGCTGGGGTCTTCACCTTGGTGTTTCGCCTGCAAGCAAAGGCTGGGAAGTGCTGGATCTTGTTGACAACCGCATCGTCACCACCGTCGAGGTGATCTTTTACGAAACGCAGTCGCTGGATGATTGGAAGGCACAGCGTGCACCACCGTCCGCAGACAATCGTGTCCCTGCGCCAGCGTCCTCACCTGACCTTCTCGTCCCCGAGATCGACGATCCGCTTGACGCTCCGGCTCCAGCTTCTGCACCACCTCATGTTCCCACATCCATCCCCACCTCCACCCTTCCACCTGTCTACCCCCGTGTGGTCCCTGTGGTCCCTCCGCCTGCACCATCATCACCTGCCGTTGCACCGTCTGCGGACGGGCCCTCTCGACCCCCTGCCAACTCCCCGTCCAAGTCGACCGACGACGATGAGGGGAGAAATGTCGCGCCACATGCTGTGCCGCGCGTTGGCATCATTGGCGGTCGACCTGCAGTTGATGCGGAGGCTGGCAAGCCTGGTACGCATGAGCAGGCAGGGGAGCACGTGGGAGGGGAGCAGGTGGCAGGGGAGCTGGTGGCAAGGGAGCAGGTGATTGGGGAGCTGGTGGCAGGGGAGCTGGTGGCAGGGGAGCTGGTGACAGGGGAGCTGCCAAGCAACACACTGTCGCGCGAATTTGCGTCTGCCGAAGGAAGTACTCCGGCGAACAACCTGCCCCGACGCTCCACTCGCGCAACCAAAGGTGTGCTACCGTATCGTTACCGAAATGCCTGCCCTGCATTTGCCAGCACGCTTCTCGATGATGCGCATGCGGACGTTGCGCTTCCGGAGCTTGATCCTGATACGCATGCCGACCCTGAACGGCATTGGGACATCGCGACGATGACCGTCAAGGAAGCATTGGCAAGCTGGAAGGGCAAGGCGGTGAAGGCCGCCATGGACGAGAAGATTCGTAGTCTCATCGCCAACGGCACATGGGAGCTCGTGGAGAGGCCGCGCGGCGTGAACGTCATGAAGAACCGATGGGTGCTGACGACGAAATATCACGTCGACGACACGGTTGCCCGGCAGAAGGCGCGCTTGGTCGTGAAAGGCTTCACGCAGGTGTACGGCGCTGACTACGAGGAGACGTACGCGCCGGTCGGAAGCTACGCCACGCTGCGGATCTTCCTCAGCATCGTCGCCGTCCTCGACCTGCACCTGATGCAGCTCGACATGAAGAACGCATTCCTGCATAGCAAGCTTGACCGTGTGCTCTACATGTTCCAGCTGGACTACTACGACGACGGGACCGGCCGCGTATGCAAGCTGCTGAAGAGCCTGTACGGGCTGAAGCAGTCACCGTTGCTGTGGTATTCGGCGCTCGACGCAGTGTTGACCGGCGCCGGGTGGAGCAAGAGTCAGGTTGACGAGGCATTGTACTTCAAGGTTGGCGACGACGGAGTGGCGTGCTGGGTGCTCGTCTACGTCGACGACCTTCTCGCCGCGAGCAGCAGCACCGCGATGCTGAAGGAGCTGAAGGAGCTGCTGGAGGCCGCCTTTGAGCTGCGCGAGACCAGCCCGGTCGAGAAGTATCTCGGGCTGGAGATCGTGCGTGACCGACCTGCGCGGAAGCTGTGGCTTCATCAGCAGGCCTACGTCGACAAGCTGCGCAGGCGTTTCATCGACGAGGAGCAGACCTGGCGAGTCCCGAAGACACCGGTCTCCGTCAACGCCTACTCCGAACTGACGTTTGACGATGAAGAGTTTCAGGCGCGTGAGGAAGAAGAATATCGTCAGAAATTAGGCTCCCTGCAGTTCGCTGCAACCACTATTCGTCCGGACATTGCTTTCGCATGCAGTAAGCTGGGCTCTGGGCTGACCGTGCGCAGCGATCAGCATTGGCGGGAGTTGGACCGCTGCATCGAGTATCTGGTGGATACGCGCGACATGGCTCTGGATTTTGGTGGTGGAGAAGATTCTTTGCGTCTGGTTGGCTATGCGGATGCTGATGACGCTGGTGACAAGCAGAAGCGCAGCAGCACGAACGGCTATGTCTTCGTCTTCGGCGGCGCAGCTGTCTCGTGGACAAGTCAGAGGATCAAGTGTGTGACACTTTCCTCGACGGAGTCTGAGTACGTCGCCGCGACAGAGGCTGGCAAGGAGGCACGTCGCTTGCGCTTCCTTCAGGCAGAGTTCCAGCTCCTTGATCCTGGGACGCCAACCATCCTCCACGTGGACAACTCCTCTGCAATCACGGTTGCGGAAGGTCTGGGACTCAAGGGCAATCTTAAGCACATGGAGCGTCGCTACATGTGGCTTCAGAAGTTGGTGAAGCGCCATAAGCTTGCGCTGCTGTACATTGCGACGAGCGAGCAGCCGACGGATTTCCTGACGAAGGCGCTGCACTTCCCCGCGTTCAACAAGTGTTCCGTCGCAGTGGGGCAAGTTGACCTTACGGACGTCGACAAGGACGACGTGCAGAAGTAGGTGCCATGTCCTTCAACATGGCTAGTGCGGTGAGATGTTGCGCGACGACGAACGCGCTGACGAAGTTCATTTCGTCACCCTGTACTCTATGATAGCTAGTTTCCTTTCGCAGAGTGCTAACCTCCTTTGTGCCAATGCACTAGCAGGGCAGGGGAGTGTTGAGAAAAGCCCTGCAGGTGCATGGGCGAGAGCAGGGGCTTCCGTAGAAGCTGGACCAAGGAGTCCGCATGAGGTGAAGAAGTGCCCGTGCACAGGATGTACCGAGGTACCTGTGCACGAGGTACTGTGGGGTCCGCAGGTGCAGCAGCAATATCTCGTGCACATGCGCAGAGGGCGCAGCTGGTGCAGGAGTTCGCGGAAGTTCATCTCCGCAGGGTCGCGACTGACCCTGCGCACCCTCGCGTATGCACATTCGAATTTCGGAGAGAAATTCGATGTGCGCGAAATTCGACCAATGGCAGCGCAGGGAATTTTGACCAATCAGATTCTGACGGAAATTGTACCCGTCAGGGGAAATTGAACCAGTAACGAAAATGAACCTGCTACACGTTTTTGTAACAGAAAAAACGTGCACACCTATGGATGGTGTACAACCTGGGCAACTATCTAGTTAGGTGGAAATACATGGGCTTGTTTTTCCCACCTGCTGTTGCTGAGTTGGCATGGCACATGCTTGGTAGTTAGCTAAACGTTCCCTCTTGGAACGTTTCTGCAGGGTTCCTTGTTCTAGTATATTGGTTCAATTCTTGTTGTACTATACTTGTTCTTTCTTGTTCAATCCTTGCCTTAGTGAAACCTATGCTTGGATTCTACTAAGTCAACAACTCTGTCAAGAGTACTAGCAAGCAGAATTCTACCCACGCAGCCCTTAGCCTGCCTACGTTCCCCATAGTCTAGAATTCTCCGCAGAGCAGAGATGGTGGAATAGGATGAGGAGCAGAGATGGTGGGATGGGATGAGGAGAAGAGATGGTGGGATGGGATGAGGAGCAGAGATGGTGGGATGGGATGAGGAGCAGAGATTGTGGGATGGGATGAGGAGCAGAGATGGTGTGATGGGATGAGGAGCAGAGATGGTGGGATGTGATGATGAGCAGAGATGGTGGGATGGAATGATGAGCAGAGATGGTGGGACGGGACGATGAGCAGAGATGGTGGGATGGGATGAGGAGCAGAGATGGTGGGACGGGATGATGAGCAGAGATGGTGGGATGGGATGAGGAGCAGAGATGGTGGGATGGGATGAGGAGAAGAGATGGTGGGATGGGATGAGGAGCAGAGATGGTGGGACGGGATGAGGAGCAGAGATGGTGGGATGGGATGAGGAGCAGAGATGGTCGGATGGGATGATGAGCAGTGATGGTGGGATGGGATAAGGAGCAGAGATGGTGGGATGGGATGAGGAGAAGAGATGGTGGGATGGGATGAGGAGCAGAGATGGTGGGACGGGATGAGGAGCAGAGATGGTGGGATGGGATGAGGAGCAGAGATGATCGGATGGGATGATGAGCAGTGATGGTGGGACGGGATGAGGAGCAGAGATGGTGGGATGGGATGAGGAGCAGAGATGGTGGGATGGGATGAGGAGCAGAGATGGTGGGATGGAATGAGGAGCAGAGATGGTGGGACGGGATGAGGAGCAGAGATGGTGGGACGGGATGATGAGCAGAGATGGTGGGATGGGATGAGGAGCAGAGATGGTGGGACGGGATGATGAGCAGAGATGGTGGGATGGGATGAGGAGCAGAGATGGTGGGATGGGATGATGAGCAGTGATGGTGGGACGGGATGAGGAGCAGAGATGGTGGGATGGGATGAGGAGCAGAGATGGTGGGACAGGATGATGAGCAGTGATGGTGGGACGGGATGAGGAGCAGAGATGGTGGGATGGGATGAAGAGCAGAGATGGTGGGACGGGATGAGGAGCAGAGATGGTGGGATGGGATGAGGAGCAGAGATGGTGGGACGGGATGAGGAGCAGAGATGGTGGGACGGGATGAGGAGCAGAGATGGTGGGATGGCATGAGGAGCAGAGATGGTGGGACGGGATGAGGAGCAGAGATGGTGGGATGGGATGAGGAGCAGAGATGGTGGGATGAGATGATGAGCAGAGATGGTGGGATGGGATGAGGAGCAGAGATGGTGGGATGGGATGAGGAGAAGAGATGGTGGGATGGGATGAGGAGCAGAGATGGTGGGACGGGATGAGGAGCAGAGATGGTGGGACGGGATGAGGAGCAGAGATGGTGGGACGGGATGATGAGCAGAGATGGTGGGATGGGATGAGGAGCAGAGATGGTGGGATGGGATGATGAGCAGAGATGGTGGGATGGGATGAGGAGAAGAGATGGTGGGAGGGGATGAGGAGCAGAGATGGTGGGACGGAATGAGGAGCAGAGATGGTGGGATGGGATGAGGAGAAGAGATGGTGGGATGGGATGAGGAGCAGAGATGGTGGGACGGGATGAGGAGCAGAGATGGTGGGATGGGATGAGGAGCAGAGATGGTGGGATGGGATGAGGAGCAGAGATGGTGGGACGGGATGAGGAGCAGAGATGGTGGGATGGGATGATGAGCAGAGATGGTGGGATGGGATGAGGAGCAGAGATGGTGGGATGGGATGATGAACAGAGATGGTGGGATGGGATGAGGAGCAGAGATGGTGGGATGGGATGAGGAGCAGAGATGGTGGGACGGGATGAGGAGATGAGATGGTGGGATGGGATGAGGAGCAGAGATGGTGGGATGGGATGAGGAGCAGAGACGGTGGGATGGGATGAGGAGCAGAGATGGTGGGATGGGATGAGGAGCAGAGATGGTGGGATGGGATGATGAGCAGAGATGGTGGGATGGGATGAGGAGCAGAGATGGTGGGATGGGATGAGGAGCAGAGATGGTGGGATGGGATGAGGAGCAGAGATGGTGGGATGGGGTGAGGAGCAGAGATGGTGGGATGGGAAGAGGAGCAGAGACGGTGGGATGGGATGATGAGCAGAGTTGGTGGGATGGGATGAGGAGCATAGACGGTGGGATGGGATGAGGAGCAGAGATTGTGGGATGGGATGATGAGCAGAGATGGTGGGATGGGATGAGGAGCAGAGATGGTGGGATGGGATGAGGAGCAGAGTTGGTGGGATGGGATGATGAGCAGAAATGGTGGGATGGGATGATGAGGAGAGATGGTGGGATGGGATGATTAGCAGAGATGGTGGCATGGGATGATGAGCAGAGATGGTGGGATGGGATGAGGAGCAGAGATGGTGGGATGGGATGAGGAGCAGAGATGTTGGGATGGGATGAGGAGCAGAGATGGTGGGATGTGATGATGAGCAGAGATGGTGGGACGGGATGAGGAGCAGAGATGGTGGGATGGGAGGAGGAGCAGAGATGGTGGGATGGGATGAGGAGCAGAGATGGTGGGATGGGATGAGGTGCAGAGATGGTGGGATGGGATGAGGTGAAATTATTCCAACTCTTTCATTCTTGCTATCGTAAATATGTCAAAATCTTTATGTTTTTACCCTTGTTGGATATGTCTTCCGCACCAGTCTGCTCACTTCTCTCGCTCCTCAAAACCACATTTCCCATTCACCCACCGCGTTCCCTGGAAACCTGTTTGCTTGAACAGGAATCAAGAACTTATTTGCCATCATAAACAAAAGCAGACTTTCCTTCCTTCCTGACTACTGTTCCCAAACCTTCAGGCGCTTATTGGGCTTTCCACTACCACCCTTATTCACTGGCGCAGCTTGCGTTTCAAAGCAAGCATGGCCTAGGTGCTCCAGCAAAGCGAAAGCTGCAGCCACACCTCACGCCAGTTCCCTTCCAGTAACACATTTCTTCTCGTCAACCTCACAAATTCTTCACAATCCATCATCGCATCGCGTCCCCTATTCGGTCGTCTGCGAGACGCACGAGTCCGTGGCCACGTCCCAGTTCTGCTGCACCATGAACTTCATACCGTTGAGCCCCACCAGGTTGTACTCCGCATCGTCACCATACACGCTCGGAGCTGTTTGCGTCTCTCCGTACTCGTAGCTGCACTTATCAGCGTTCTCCTCCCCGTTACCGTCGAACCAGCCGCTGATGGCATTGGGATCTGTCGCCGCTTCCGCGATCTCGTGAGCGATCGTCGAAACCATCGCGTCCAGCCACGGCTTCCCGCTGGGCGAAGTCTGCTTCGCCCCGCAGTTTCCAGGGCACAATCTGTGATGACCCACGAGGGAATATGCAACGGGCTTCGATTTGAGAAGGTCCATCGTGTGATACCCGCAGTACTGTGTGCAGAATCCAGAGACCTTAATGTTGGTGCTCGTGATAAGCAGGTAGATGCCATTGGCGTCGTACGGGAACGGCTTTCCGGAGCCAATCTTGCTCTTCACAACTGCGATTTGAAGGGGGTTAGGACATAAGTGTTATAGTCACAATAGGCTTGAATGTGCCTAAAACGAAAGATAGAGAGCACAGACGGATTTCTGCACAGCGGCTTCAAACGTTGATAGCGTTCTGCGCACAGCTGCAAATGACTTGATTCAAATTGGATCTGGAGCGTCTTCACGTCATCTACAATAAGCAATTTAGATTGCACGATTTGATAAAGAATTGACGACACAGCGTCAGTTTGAACGAACGGTACTATGGCAGCCACTATAGTCTTAGAACACAAGATAGGAAGAGTTACGAGTTGGGAATGACTCCCAGCTCCTACAAACCCCAAGAGCCGAGGTACAGTGATGTGGAACAGTGCCACACTGTCCCCAACCACGAAGGGTCTCGAAACTACCCTTCACTAGGGCCTACACCAAGTGAAATGTTACACTACACAAAGTAATGTAACTATCTTCAATATCTTGAGGTGTACCCTTTTTGGCAAGCTTCGAAATCACTTGAGGCTTGACACCAAGGCTCGGGCTCTTCATCACAAACTCATCCTTGAGTTCTTGATGGGTCTGCTGCACACACCTGCGACACGCCGAACGTTCGACACAGGACAAAATAGAAACCGCGCACGACAAAATAGAAACCGCGCGCGAGACACAAACGACCGCGTAACACGCGTCTAGCGATAACTCGCTATTGACTCGACACACACACTCGACATCATGACTCAAACATTCACACACAATTATAAGCATGAAATATATATTATCCCATGCCCTCATACCATTCCATACACACACACATTCACGCACACGGACAACAAGCCGAGTGCAAACCGTAGGGTTGCACCAACAAACTCCCCCTCGGATTGTTGGCCTTAGGATATGTTGCTCTCTCAGTTCAAAGCCATCCCAGCCAGCTTGCAACACTTCCAATGCTGCTGCTCCACCAGCCTCTTGGTCATCATGTCAGCCGGCTGCCCCGTGGTCTTCACGTAGCGCAACTCAACTTCACCCGCGGTTACCATGCTCCTCGTCCAATGCCACTTCACTCTCATGTGCTTCGTGAGTCCATGCAACACAGGGTTCTTAGCAAGAGAAATGGCACCCTGGCTGTCACAGTACAGTGGGGTAGGTCCTTGCTGCTCCTCCCCCAATTCAGCCAACAAACGCCGCTGCCACACAATCTCCCGTACGGCACGGAAGAGTGCCATGTACTCGGACTCCACCGAGCTCAAAGCTTGGTCAACCTGCTTCTTGCTCTCCCAAGCAGTTGGGCCTCCACCAACACAGCATATGAAGCCTCCCACACTTGTCATGTCCTCTGGTTCTGATGCATATGAAGCATCCGAGTAGGCGGTGAGGAACAAACGCCCGGGTTCAACACCATCCGCGCCCTTTTGGCGCCTTTGTGCCGCCGCCGAGTATTGCAGCCCAACGGTCGGTGTTTGGCCAAGATACTTGGCCACCCTCATTCCAGCTGCTACCTGCTCCTCATTAGGGCATTGCACAACCCTAGCCAGCTGCCCGGTAGCAAACGCGACGTCCGGTCGGGTGTTTACCGCCGCATACATGAGGCTGCCCACCAACGAGTGAAATCGGCGCCTCTCCTCTTCACCAACGCTCTCCTCCTCTGGTCCCTTCACACACTTGAACCCAGAGGGAAAGGGTGTAGCCACATGGCCTTCACTCTGCCCAAAGTTGGCAGCCAATGCCTCCAGGTACTTTCGTTGATGCACCCGCATGCACCGCTTCTCCACATCTCGTTCGATGTGGAGCCCAAGGTAGAAGCTCACGTCACCAAGGGCCTTGCACTTGAACTTGTCTTGAAGCTTCAGCATCACCTCCTTCACAAGGTCAGAAGAGGGTGAGAAAATGAGGATGTCATCCACATAAACCACCATGAAACTCCTCTGCTCCCCCTCGCCAAGCATGAACAAGGAATGATCGGCGGATGAAGGAGTGAAGCCTATCTCCTCCAAAACTCCTCGCAGCTTCAAGTACCACTGCCTAGGGGCCTGCTTCAGTCCATAAAGGGCCTTCTTCAGCCTCAAAAATCTGCCACTACCATCATCAAACCCCTCTGGCTGCGCCATAAAAATCTCTTCCTCAAGGACGCCGTTGAGGAATGCCGTTGTGACATCCATTTGTTTCACCACCCATCCTTTGATGGCAGCTCCCGCGAGTAGGGTTCTCAGCGTTGTCGGCTTCACCACAGGAGCAAACAACTCCTTATATTCCACCTTCTCCTTCTGCTGGTACCCCTTGGCCACAAGCCTAGACTTGTAGCGCTCGATCTTGCCGTCGGCGTCGGACTTGATCTTGAAGAGCCACTTGGACGTAATCGCCTTACGCCCCTCCGGTAGCTCCACCAATTCCCACGTGCCGTTCTCCTCAATGCACTTCAGCTCACTCTCCATTGCCTTCTTCCACTCCTCAGCATCACTACTCTCCAAGGCCTCCTTGAGAGTTGCTGGTTCTCCCGGCATCTCCACCGGAGAGAAGAACACGAAGGCACACTCGTCGTAGTCACTCTCCTCGTCATCTCCAACTATAAGTGCCGCTCCGGCCAGAGCTGACTTGGCTGGCTTTCCCAGTGCCTCATAGGTCAGCCTATTAGGGGCTTGGGTTCTCCTTTTGCCCCTTCCTTCTTCCTCAGCTGCAGGGACATGAAGGCCTTGGCGTTGCTGCGGATTGACTCGGATCCGTGGAGCACTCGTAGTGCGAGAAGGAAGTGTTGGTGCACGCTCGCTCACTTGCTGCACCTCCTCCTCTTCTTCCTCTGCATCCTTGGCCTCCTCTCCCCCATTCACAAGGGAAGATTGCCTTGTGGTGGTGCTGCCGCTGCTCAGCTCCAAGGGCAGCTCCACATGCTCCAAACCGGAACCCTTCACCTCCCCAAACCGCATGCATATCTTCGCCTCATTCTCCGCCTTCCAATCCTTGTACATCAGATTCTCCATGAATTTGCAGTCCCTGCTCACCAAGAATTTCTTGGTGAATGGGTCCCAAAGAAGCCACCCCTTGCTGTTTTGAGCCATGCCCAAGTGCACAGCCCATATCGCTTTGGCACCGAGCTTGTGCCGAAGATGCTTAGGCACGAGCGCCATGCACATGCACCCGAACACCCGAAGCATATCCACCTTTGGCTTCCTTCCAATCCACTCCACATAGGGCACCCATTTGTCTGCTCCCACATGAGTCAAGGCTCTGTTCTTGGCCACACACGCACTCCGCACCGCATCAGGCCAGAAATATTCGGGTAGCCCGGCTTCAATGAGCAACCCACGCGCCATCTCCGTGATTGTCCGGTTCGCTCGCTCGGCAATGCCGTTCATTGCAGGGGAGTATGGCATGGTAAGGGAGTGCCTTATGCCATTCTTCTTCAGCCACAATGAGAACTCTTTGCTCAGGAACTCTCCCCCTCGATCGGTGCGAATTGCCTTCACTAACCGGTCTTGTTGCCGCTCCACCATCGGCAACCAATCGGTCTTCACCGTTTCAGCCACGTCACTCTTCTTGGACAGCACGTACACCCAAGTCATGCGAGTGTAGACGTCCACAATGGTGAGAAAGTACTCAGCTCCAGCAGCTCCAAGCTTCAGGGGGCCCACCACGTCCATCACCACCTCATCAAATGGTGCCTTAGCTGTTGCCTCCGAACTAGAGAACGGGTAACGGGTGAACTTGGCTTGCATGCACGTCGGGCAGCCAAGTACCTCATCGGGCTCCCCCTTCACACGTATGCCAGCAACCATCTCATTCTTCACTAGCTGCTGCAAGATGGGCAGGGCCACATGCCCCATTCGCCAATGCAAGGTGAGCCAATCACACTCCCCCGTAGCCGAAGTCGGATTGGAGAATGCCGCATTCGCAATAGTGCCCCACATGTTCTCTCCGTACTCCTCCTCCGCTACTGCCTTGGGGTTCTCATCACCCTTGTGCTGCTTCTGAGCTGCTGCACCACTCTCCTTGTGTTCACCGAGCTTGCTGGTCCCTCCTAGATTGCACTTCTTAGACTCAATCTCCTTAGCGCGACCGTTCGTGCCATCGCCGCTACCAACCGCTTCACCCTTGGTGCTGATGCTTGCTGCCACTTGCCTTTCCTTAGGCATGGGGACCACAGGGATCTGCCACATCTCGTTGTAGACATCCCTATCCTCGTGAAGGTTCCAAAGAATCCGCTCGCCAAGCCTCGCGGTGTAGGTCTTAGCTCCCTTTGAGCTCGTGTCCATGCCGGCCTTTTGCAACCGCCGTACGGAAATCAGGTTGGCAGCAAGGTTGGGCACCCAAAGCACGTTCTTGAGGCCCACCATCTTCCCATCAGCACCCTTGAACATGGCCTTGCCCATGCCTTTCACCTCTGCTCGCTGCCCCAAAGCCGATGTCACATGCTTCACCGGTGACGGCTCAAGTTCGGTGAGCAAGTCCGCACGAGGTGTCATGCTATAGGTAGCGCCGCTATCGATCACCCAATAGTCCAGGGAGTGTAGGGTGACCTTTCCCACAGCTGCTGGCTCCTCAAAGCTTTCATCATTCTCTGGACCAGCCGGTGCTTGCGTGGACACGAAGAAGAATTGACCCGGGAAGCGATCGTCCCTCGACTCGCTCTCGTTGCCGGCACTCTTCATACTTGCAGCACCACCTCCGCGACCGCCACGGCCTCCACGGCCTCTTCCTCTCCCTCCTCCTGCTCCTCTACCCTCTTGGCCTTGAGCAGGAGTCCATCCATCAGGGAGTTTGTAGCAATCGCGCCACATGTGTCCGCTCTTGTGGCAAAAATGTCACTCGCCGTCGAACCGTCCGCGACCGCGTCCGTTGTTCTTGTTGTCATTGCCGTATCCGCTACTCCCGCGGCCTCCGTTGAAGTTGCTGCCTCC